TAAGATGTTTCATTAAAAACTACAACATAACTATAAAAAAGACAAACAAATATGCGATTTATAAATCATCAATAAACATCAATCATCTTAGAAACTAATATCGTTCGCCACATCAGAAACACACACACACACACTGTAAACATACACTGCAGGAGAATGTTTTTATATCCTGATTGAAGAGTTTCATATCCTCTGGCCAGTTGGGGAACGACGTGTAAGGCACCAAACCATCGTGAACCCACCTCAAGAAGAATTCGTCAAATTAATTTTTTAAATAAATCTATTTATCAAATAGTGAAAAGTTAAAGTTAGTGATTTATGATAAAGTTATAGATTATTTTTTTCATAAAGTAACGATAACAAATAAAGAATACCAATGGCAAATGAAAAATGAAATTTTGACAATTTTATGACCAATGAAGAAATTAAAATTTGACAGTAGTAACCAATCAACCAACCTTAGGAGATCGCACACCAAGACCGAGGAGTTAAGAAGGTGCAGAGCAAGGTATACAATAGCAAGTGTCTTGGACATGGACATGTAAGCAACTAGTTTTGGCTTATCGAGGTCCTTCATTTTCTAATTAATAAACAACAGTTATAAAGGCAAGGCATTAACAAAGGCCTGACAATATATACAGAAGATATGTGTAAAATTAATAATCATATTTTTCAAATTTTGGAAATAATAATTATAAAATAAATAAAATAATGACGCATGAGCAAATGAATTTTTATAAAAATAGATGAATAGAAGAAGAGGGGGTGAAAATAAATTTATAAAGTAAGGATGAACCTCGATGGTTGGATTGCCATCCTCATCAACATCGACTTTAACTTCAGTTTTCTTTTTAAATACCTTTTTATATTCAATTTCCTGATCAATCATCTTTACAATGCGTTTCTCATCATCATCCATCAGTTTCCTGTGCTCCTTGCTTCCATAATAAATCTTCTGATTGGGTGGCTTTCTAATGTGCTTTCTAATAAATCCACAGTATTTGTTTTTAGTTTGAGCCTCATCTGTCTCATCTTCACTTTCAGCTTTTTCTTGCTCACCAATCTGGGCTTCAAGTTCCAATTTCTTGAGAGTGCAAAAAGAATTTAGTTACCAAAATGGAAAAAAATTGTTTTAAAAAGCAAAACCTCAACAAAATTCCTAGCCAATAAACTAATGCCAAATCTAAACAACAATAATCTTTAAACAAAATGATGTACACTTAGATGGCTAACTATATTACCTAGTCAAATAAACATGTCACACGTGCAAGATAAATAATAAATAAATATGTCAGTAAATTAGCTGACAAAAATAAAACACCATAAAGCGTGTAAATAACATTGAATTTTTAAAATATTTTAGGTAAATAAATAACGAAAGTACGTAGAAAAGAAAACTGAGTGACTGATGATCATTAATGGGACCTACAGCAAGTTTGTTTCTCTTTTCGAACCACGTGCTGGTACTTGATGCATAGAAGGACACTTGTCTGATCTGCGGATCCTTTAATGTTCCTGGGAACTTATCTCTATGAATAGCAAATTTTTTTTCATTTCAAATGAATAGATTAATGAAAGATACAAAGATGTTGTCAATTATATAAAAAAAAATGTTTAATCTTGATTTATTTCAAATATTTTGGTTCTATTACATCCATTTTGGTAGCAACAAATTTTCATTAAATACATTTAACACAAAACGTAGTTTAAAAAATATAGCATGTCAATAAACCACTATCACTTATCAATAACCACAAAAACAATTTTTATTATTATTATTATTATCACTATTATCATCCTCATCATCACCACAAATAATAACCTTAATTTGTTTAATAAAAATTGTTTTCTTCTCAGTTGTTCAGAAGTCAATTTTTTATCCAAGAAAGCTTTTCCTGACTTTTTCAAGAAGAGAGCCCACACTCGAAAAACAACTTCCTTCAGAGAAATTGAATTAAAAATTGGATAGATACTAATTGGTAATTGAAAGTGATATTTAAATTTTGAGATGAAAAAACAATAATAAAAATACTGGTAGGCTTTCATGCGCTCCCAACTTCACTAACGCCTTCGCCTGCTCCATCAATACAAACTGATAACCCTCATCAATATTCCATGGTCGATAATCCTTTTTATTTGTCGTCGGTTTGTCTAATAAAATGGTTTTAAAAATATTATATAAAAATTAAAAATAAATAATAAATTTTAGTGGCAATAAAATAGCAAAAAATGATTGAGATAATAATAGTAAATTAAAATTTTTTTTTACATAAAAACTAGCAGTTTATAAAATGTTTATAATATTCTTGTTTAGTAGAATAGAGACCTGTGTTTTTAAGAGGCTTTGGAGTTTTGGTGCTGACTTTGTGGAGGAGACTGAGACATTGGGCTGGCAATTGGTAGTCATCGGTATGTTCATGCTGGGTTCCTAGTGCCTACAATTATTACCAGTATCGTATTATCATTACGATTAAATTACATCGCGATTACATTCTATGACGATTACATTACATGATGATTACATTACGATAATGTTGATTACTTACCTGACTGGCCGTCCCGCAAAAATCGCAGTAGTGCGTTCCGTCAATCAGGGAAAACTCTGTTGATTGGCATGAAGGACAAGTATTTTTGGCCATTGCAAATCAGAACAAAATGAAAAATATGATTCAGCTTATCGAGCTTTAATTTAGGTAGGAAATAACTAAACTAAATCTTCTTAGCTAAATCCTTTAAAAATCCCTTTCTTTCTCTAATAACTTTCATCTTAAACACGGCATGCCCTTTTAATTTTTTTGAGATTTGTTTACATAGAAGCAACAACTGTAGCTAAGCGATTCCTGCTATTTACAAGTTTTAGTAGTACGCGAGTACGGGTAAGTACTCAACGCCTGATCATGAAAATGTTTGATTTGGTAATGGAAATATCGACATTTTTGAAATATAGAAACCTGAATCGACCGAATAGTTATCATTTTGAATGACTGAACACGCACTTAAGTTGGATATTTTGGAATGCAGCACCGATATTATGAATTAAGCGGTTGTTATTTTACTAGATTCAAATAGTACTTACTCTCCTGAGCATGAGAATGTATAATTTGGTAATGGAAATAACATTTTTAAAATATATTAACATGAATCAACCGAAGTTTTAATATTTGTATTGTTGAATATGCAGTTTTTTTACAGTGGCGTCGATAGTTAATTTAACTGGTGGATTTTAATAGATTCATTTAGTAGGCCTGAGCAACTTCATTCAAAATGACGTAAAAACTTGCAGGAAAACAGATGCTTTTAATCAAGAAACCACAATAATTTTATTTATTAACGTTCGTTTCGTGAAAAAATCCAATTTTGTATAACTCCACCACACAATTTTTCTTAACGAGAAACTTGATATGTAATTTCAAAACCAGTATTGAAAAATATAGAAAGATTTTTGTTCTTCTCAACAAACAACAATTCACAAACGCAAAAAATCACTTACTGAAATGTTGGCATAATTGTCTTGAAAGTTATCTCTAAATTTATGTAGCATTTTATATGTAGCATTAGCTTTGTGTGATGGTTGATGTGATGGTTGATTAATTCACTGATTCATTGGTTGACATTCATCAGAGACGTGAACAGAACTTTCCAAACAGAATTGATGACAACTTGAACCGGAGAATTGTTCTACAATCAACAAGCAACAAAATAAATGTTTTTCAATTTTTTAATGAAATAATCAGAAAAAGCCAATATTTAATGACAGCTTCCATAACAATAAGATCCTCTCGATGAAGTGAATTCTTGTGACACACGATAGTAAATTGTTAGGATCGGTGGATAGTGCAACATAGTAATTATTTCAACGTTTTATAGCAAAATGAATTAATAAATAAATGCTTCAAACTGTTGTTTATTATCGAATGTAAATTTTACTAAAATTCATAATTTAAAACTTTTTCATTTCAACATTATTAAGTTTGTTATTTGTTTGTCAATTTTATTACACGATTTCAATCGAACCCAAACTCGCGAGTGTTAAATACTAGCAACGGTCAATACGGACGTAATTATAAGTCACTATTCAAATATCAGGCCATCACACATCTTCTAAGTCATCATCTCGCCCAAAAGTAACGTCATCTTTATCACCACCACCATAATTAGAAGTGCTTTTCACTATTTCCCCCATTGTGCTAGGGCTGGTAGGCGCACAATAGACAGCCGATGTTAAATCTGAAAGGTTGATCAGAGGGTAAGATAGGTCGGTATTGTTGTTGCCACTGGTTGAGTTGTAGGCATTACGTTTTCTATATATATGATTTTGTGTGGGTAATTTTGGCAACTGTTTGTTTTGTTGCTTGACTTCATATAAAAAATTTTTAGGTGAAGATATCCGTTCCAGAAAGTTGTATTTATCGTTACATTCATTTGTAGAAATAATTATTTGTTGTGTTGAATGATCTTCCGTTAACATGTCAAATTTTTTAAAATTTTTCGCGTAATTTGAATTGATAGTTTCATTTGGCAGGTGAGTTGCATTATTTTGATGCAGAGGAGGTTGTTCCATGAGTTCATGTTTCGCCGCCCCACGCAACTCCGACCTGCTGAGAACAATCTTCTCGAGAGCATCAACATGTGATTCCACCGTGGCCAGACTCCCATTCATGTCACTTTCCATTCGCTGCATGACGTTCGCTGAGTTGAAATTTTTTTCTAATCTTTTGAGGGTGGAAAAAGTAATTTGTTATCATTGATGTTATTAATCTGATTTACAAATTATTCTCAAATCAATTTCAATTTAACATTTAAACATTGAAAAATTTATTTTATTGACTTTATTTCAAAAATTTGCCAAGTAGAATTCTGTGTAGGACTTATGTTTAAAAATTTATTATTTGCTGCACATTAATTTACGTTCAATCTTTTTTTAATGTTCTAACGTTGTAAATTTGCTGCCCATTAATTTGCTATGTTCTTTTTGTTATGTAGGAAGTAAATTTAACTTTTCAAGTTTCAACATTTTGAAATTCCGAACAAATACCTAACTTTAAAGCTTTTTGATTGTCCGTTTGTTTATCATTGGTTGTGGTCCGTCGAGCTCTGTTTTTGTGGAATGATTGGATGCAGCCGTCTTCAAAGTCGTGCAACTTCTCTAGGTCCTGCTCATCCAGAAATACCTCTTGCAAAAGAAAATATACAAGGTTGTAATTTTTAATTCAATTCAATAAGGTGTTTGTTCGGCAAAAACATAAATACAGGAGACCTGAAAATTGTTTATATAGTTATTTTTATTTATTGTAATATATTAACAATGCAAATTGCTTACAATTTATTTCAAATTTATTTCATTGCAACTGAAAATATTTTTTTACGAAAGCTGTAACAATAACACCACACCACATCACACCACACAAAAACTTTCGCTTATATGATAATTACAGTCAAATTAAACAATGGCTAACTTAGTCCGCGATCGAAAAACGTTTGCTTCTTGGTACAGCACATGAGAAGGTATCTAAAAGTGATGAAGGCGTGGTTGATGAGGATGAACGGAGCAGGCAGGATGGGTCTCGTTTCGTATTTTATTATCAAATTGTAACGTTGGAATTTCCAAACAGTGTTCGAATGGGCGTATATTCTCATGAAAACTCCGCTGTAAAGTTTTAAAAGAGTATTGAAATCATTGTCGAGGCATCAAACGTAAAGAAGTAAATTTAAAATAAAACACTTAAGTTGGATCATTAACAGCAGTAGATTAACAGGAGCCTTTATATTTATTTTCAAATAACTTTTTGCACAAAATCTTCAGCCAACTTGATGACAGCAATGAGAAGACTGAGCAGGACAATGATGCCAACCGCCAAGTACACAGCAAAGATAAAAGGCACCAGCCACCTTCCAGGCACACATGGAAACTCTTCCTCGGATGTCACATCATCCACGCAATCAGCTGAAATCATGATTGAAATTATCGGTAAATTGGCGTCTTTTATTGAAAAAGAATATTTTTCTTGGATTATTTTTAGCAACATAAACACATAAATTTTATGTTGCTAAAAATTTAATCTTGATCCATTTTTAGGTCATCTATGAAAAATGAAAACTTTCAAAGTTAAGAACTGAACTAACGCCAGATTTCATCACTATAGGTTTCTCCGTAGAGCATGAAGTAAGGCTTGAGAAATATTTTTCTGACCGACGACCACTTGAAATCTTGCTCCGGAAACCAGAGGGATTGTCTGAATGTTCCAAAGCTAACTAGGATGACCAGAATGTAGAATAGGAGATCTGAAGAAACCCTAAACTAAATTTGGTTCTTATTATGAACAGCAATAATAATAATGTTGATGGAAATTATGCAAGTTTCAAATTATTAAAGTTAACGTTGATTATCTCCTAAAAATTGAGTTTATCACTGTGTAAAATTTTCGAAAATGCACTAATATTTTTGATTTAAAAAAACCAAAGAACCTTATTGAATAAATTAAAACTAAATTGTTTTCCAAAGCAGGAACATCACAAACAACTTCAAATATTTCCGCCCCACACACCCTTCTTCCAACTCACCATCTTCTTGAGAATTGTTATGTACGGTCCGAACTTAGGACCAATGACGAAGAACTCGACAAATTTAACGATGCACAGCATAACAGTGAGGGAATAAAATACTCTGGAAGTTGAATCAAAGTGGAATCGAAGAGCGAAGCCAATATAAAAGAGGCAGATTGATGAAATGTCGGCAATGTTCCAAAAATCATTGAAGAAGATGAAGACTTTCTGTCTTATCTTTGGGGCATCACACGTTACGAACTGTGAGTGCATGCGTGAGTGTACGTGCGTGAGTGTGCGTGCGTGAGTGTGTGTGCGTGTGTTTGTTTGTATGTGATAATCGTTAAACAATTAAAATCGACACAATTTATTAACTTCTCTGAATTTTTCCCCTGTGAGAGCACACATGTAAGCAAGGACGTACCACTCTGCAGCGGTTCTGCGTTCTGCTGGTGTGGGCTGGATGACCATGTAGAAGAATAACAATGCAAATACGCAGTGGCCGATCTAAATAAAAAATTTCTAGTTTATGTCACAGTTAACATTTTGTCTGTTTTTAAAATACTCAAACACGTTATTTAATTCATTCCGCTAGAAAATAAATGAACAACACTGAAAGAACTGAAATAAAAACATGTCACGGACTGCATGCATCCAGAATTTTGTGATGGGAGCTGCATAAAAGTGAATGATTTTGCTACGAAAGTGAAGTTGACTGCGTTTGATTGAGATGTTGTTGCCTTCCATGGGAATGTTCGTCAGGATGGGTTTCGATCTGGCAGGCAATTTATCATTTCATCTCCAGAGTGTATAATCAACTTTTAATTACAATTGAAGTCGAGTTATCGTCATCAGCAAAGTTCAAAAAACGAAATTAAAATGAAATAAGTTTAATGAACTTTGAAATAAATGTATAGAAAGTGGAACTAGAGGTAGTAGGACTCTTAAAAAATGAAGATTTCATGAAATGAAAAACAACCCTCGCCGCATCTTGAGACGAGATTTGGAAGGCGAGAGAAAGTACTTTGAGAATTCTTTCACGTGTGACGCCCGACGCTGAAAATTATGACGCCAGAGTTTGAAACAACTCTCGTATTTGTTATCACATTTATAATTATCACCAAACCATCATCACATTTGTTATAACCACCGTTAGTTGACTAACATCAGCGTCATAGTCGTTAATGTTTTTTTTTTGTCAAGTTATCATCATCAACTTCATCATTATCACAATCATTATTATCATCAGCAGTTCTATTATCACCAACAAATTTATCATCATTATCAATATCATCATCAACAAAATCATTATTAATATCTACAACATTGTCATAAGCAACGTTAACATTGCCATTACAAAAATTTTTATCAACACACCATGACCGTTTAAATCAACATCGTTCAAATTGATATCGCAAAACATCTTCATAATCATAGTAAGTACTCTCCTTATCCAACTAAACTAACATCATCTCAATCATCATCATCGTAACCATCATCATCTTAATGTTTAATCATCTTAATGTATAATCATCTTAATGTATAATCATCTTAATGTATAATCATCTTATTGTACAATCATGTTAATGTATAGTCGTCTTAATGTATAATCCTCTTATTGTATAATCATCTTAATGTATAGTCGTCTTAATGTATGATATAATCGTCTTAATGTATAATCATCTTAACGTATAATCATCTTAATGTTATAATCACCATAATGTATAATCATCTTAATGTTATAATCATCATAATGTATAATCATCTTAATGATCACCATCGTATAACAACCAGGCGTTCTGTAAAAAGTTGTGGTCCATCTTGATTAGTGGCACTGTTCATTCCTGCAGCCGCAGCTCCGACAGCAGCTAAAGCAGCAGTTGCAGCAGCTGCGACAGCTGTCGATGATTTGCCAGATGACGAAGGAATGTCGATGATGGCGTTCGGTAGATTGAGTTGTTGAAGTTGGTGCTGATGCTGTTGCAAGGTCTGGTAATGTGTATTTGAATATTGGCATTTAAATGGCTCTCCATTGAGTGTGGATTAATCACAAATTATTACTTTTGTATGCATTTTGTTTTTGCTTTCACATAGTTTTTTTCATTTTCCCAACTCATTCAAGTTTTAACAAAACAAATAAGCTAAGTCAATCCAAATCTACGATGTGTGCTATTTGCAGCCTGCATTATTTCAACATCCGCGTCATTTTTGCTATAAGTCGTGCAACATGAAACATCCGTGCTACGTGTAATTTCTTTTTAAATTCCAATTAACTTTTTGTTGTGTGATTTTTGATTTTATCTAATAATTATTTCAGTAAACTGCGAAAATTGTCTCCTTTATTAATAATAGGTATTTAGGAATCGAAATAAAATTGTAATTAACGTTTCATGGCACCTGGTATATAATAGGATTTTCGTTATCTGAAGCATGGGAATCTGATTCTTTATCGTCATCATCTTCGTCATCACCTTCTTGTGCGTTCTGCTCATATGTAAGACAGTTGCTATATATCAACACTCATAACAATATAATTATTTAAATGTTGGTATCATTTACGTTTAATAAATAAAACAATTTACTACTATGTAAATCGTAAATAATAAATTCTTTTTCATATACTTGTGTTTGAGGCATGATCTCAAGCTCTTCGATACTTTTGTAGTTGAAAAAGAAAATCAGTGGAAAGCAAAGAATGCCAAATATGACCTGGAATGAAATTTGTATTGTATCATCACCCTTGCTGATATTCCATCATCATTTTGTCCTGTCTGTCCTAGTCCTCGTTTGATATCATTATTCATCATCATTAACATAAAAGTGTTATCTCAACATCATCATCATTAGCATTAACATCATTATCGTCGTTTTCATAATATTCATCATCATCATCTTCATCAACAACAACATCAACACGATAATCATCGCCACCTTGATACTTGGATACTTGCGAGTTCGCAGTCCACCCATCCACATTTCGGTCAATAGCACCTGGCAGCAGGTGTGTGCCAGGAAGTTCATGTTACGATCTGCGTTGGTTTGGGATGACGTGGAATGTACGGAAACTTGCGAATTTGTGCGTGCGTGCATGTGAGTGTGTGTGTATGGCCATTGTTTTGTCTATGCAAGAGCTTGTTTAGCACGTGTGTTCTAGCACATGTGTTTAACTGCTCTTAACGTATGCGTGAATGTGTGGTGTGTGCATACATTTGTTTGAAATGTGTGCATATATGTGGATCTGTGTGAGTCTAATTCTTACTTCGTATAAAAGATTAATATTTGAGTTTGCAATAAAATCCGATCTACCTGCCACAGCCAAACTGAGGCACGTCTGATTGCTCCAATTGCTGAGTTCGTACGTAAGAAGCAGCTTCGTCAGCTCGCTGTCGATCTTACAGTAGTGGTTCAACAGTTCGGTTGAAAGAGCAACAAATTCCCTGGCATGGTACGTGGGGTGATCTTGTTATTGTGGCATAAAATTAAGATGCTGAGTAAGAAGATATGTAACTTTTTATAGCATGTAAAAATGTTCGCCTATATTATGCTATAAAGCTTTCATTACGTTGTATCTGTGTTATGTTTGTATGTATGGAACATAATGCTCGAGTGTTACAACGCTCACTGATGGTGTTTGTCGATTTCGTAAGAGGCGCCCACATCATCTTCATCTTCGTCGGCCTCCCTGGCCATGCCACTGTACAGTTTGCCCGCTATCAAGCACTTCGTCAAGTTGGTACAACATCATTGGTGTTATGTCCATTTTAGGACAAAGTGAATGTTAAAAAGTTTTAAATGGGAATGAAACGTTTGAAATCTGTAATATATCAAGACACATCAAAACAATTTCAAATAACGCTAGTCCAGTATATTTATTTTAACTTTATTTGAACACAATAACGACTATTAACTTTTTTCTGTATATTCAAACTATCTCACACAAGTGTAAAATTTTCTTAAACGTTGGAAACCTTAGCCATGGATTCCTGTCCCATGCGCCACATGAACCTGGCCATGTTGTGCCTTCGCAAGAGGACAGCCCACATCATCAGTTCACTGTAAGGGTACTTGAAGGTATCTGACAACAAGTGGTTGTAGTCGTCGTCGTTTGTGGAAGTCGTCGAAGTCGTTGAGGTTCTAGATGCGGTGGAGATTTTGCGGCTCTGTTGAAAGAAATATTAATGATAATAAAAAGTAATACATAGTTTTTTTTTTAAATTTCAAATTATTGAAAAACAATAAATTATTGAAAAACAATAAATTATAAAATAAATTATTTTCATATAAATGCTATGAACTTTTATCTTTGCGGCATTGTGCAGCAAACGGAATTTCCTCTTTCCATACAAAGATTGGAAGGCCCCGCCCATTAGTTTATTTATAACTTGGCCAATCTCGTACAGGCTGAATCTATAATTAGACGGCACATACTATTGGATGGAAAGTTTGGATTCGTTAAATTAAATTATTTATTTATTTGTTTATTTATTAATAAACACTAAATCGTTTAAAATCACTAGCAGGTGTAAAATTATATAAATGCCATTATATTATTTTAAATAGATAAGTGTGGTTATTTATTACGATTTTTTTCTTGAAATTGTATATTTGTAATCGCCGAATTGGCGCGAGAAAGTAGATGTAAAAAAATGGCCTAGCTGCAATTGAGTTAACATTTGACGGAGGTGAAGTAGTCGTAAGAGTTAAGAATCTAAATATAGAAGTGTTCTAAGATAACTAGCCATGTAAAGATTGCAATTTGTCATTGTGATTGTTGAAACGGCTGTCTGTCATTGCGATTATGTTAAAAGAACTTTCACTTGCGATGTGACTGTGGTTACGAAAAGGAAGATAATGAATGATGTCATCATTGATGACGTCGATGAAAGGATGATGATGATGAGGAGGAGGATGGCGACGATGATGATGATGAGTTACCGTTTTCTGTTCGCTGAGAAGATGTCTCAATGTACTGGTTGGATCAAATCTCTTGAAATGAAATCATTTCATTTTGAAATCGTTAGTTGGTTCATTTCATACATCATGATCATCAATCACATCACAGGTTATTAATTTTTCATGTGGTAGATATATCATCTTCATCATTCTTATCATCACCATCATCCTCATTTATGTTATAAATTTTGTGTGACTTTTTTTAAAACTAAAACGACATATTTATTGAACTTTTTAGCTCAATAGTTTCAAATGTCTTGAACAATTAGGCAGTTGGTTCAACAATTGAAACAAAATTTAATAAATCTACAAATTTATCTACGATTGATTAGAGCAAATAAATCTTGATTAACAAAACTAACAGTTCTGATACCATGTTTAAGCGCCCGCGTTGATTGTAAAGGCCTCGTTGAATTCAAAACCTGTTTGTTGTTGTTGTTGCTATTGTTTTCGTTGTTGTTGCTATTTTTTTGTCGTCACCGCATGAATTAGAATTGAATAGTTTTTAAAAACATTATTTCTAATCAAAATGTCGTCAGTAATGTTAAAATGTACCACGACTACCCGCCTTACATACTGTACCATGTCTACCTATCTTACATCTGTATTATGTCTACCAACCTGATTATACAACTCCTCGAGTCTTTTGATGGTCAGCCACATTTTCACATTCAGTCCACTCTCGATTAACAACTGGACAAATTCAACCCTATCATGTACAAGGGCTTCCAACATCAGGCTGTCCAGAGCTCCTTCCTGCAGTTCGTTTATTTATTTTGCCATTGAGAGGAAAAACTGATTGAATTTTTAACAAAATTATTTCAGCGCTTAAATAACTTGCTAGTGACTCCATGAAGGAAATATTAACATCAGTGGTTACAATTACAATAAACCTTAAATAAATTGATCACTAAAATTATAGGTTTCATTTAATTTTCAGCCAATGATGAATAATTGATATTTAATGCGGCTTCCTATCTTACTTTGCATAAGTGAGCGCAAGCAAGGAAGTGCTTTCTGGCCACATCCACTCTGTTCCACGCCATTGTTAAGTGCAGTTGATACTGCAAACTTGACTTTTGGCCTGAATCATTATTCCCAATAAATTGTTTAGTTGAAGTCATTTGATGAATTAGATTAACTTATTTTTCGTTTTATAATAATGAAACGTAAGCACCTTGTTTAACATTGCAAAAAATGATTTTTATGATACCATTTAACGATAGAATGATTGAAAGACCAACGAACATCTCAACAGGACACTGAGCAAGGCTTGGTCAAGACTCTCCTTTCCGTTCTGTAATCTAAAAATTGTTATCTGACAAAATATTTTAAAATTATGAATTATTATGTTCATTAAGCATACTTGAGCGTGAAAAAAAAATTAAGGAACCGATTTTTTGTGCTTCACGCATAACATTAATTCCTCGAATACATTTTCATAAGCTGAATGTTCCAATCGAGAAAGGTTGGATATCATCGCCTGCAGTCGTTTCCTTGTATTCTGCGACATGCCCCTATTATTTAGTTAAACAGATATAGTTTAGTTTAGAATGTTGGAGAAATGTGCAATTGAACTGAATATATGACCGTATTTGGTATGTATTGTATAAACTTTCAAAAGAAGCATTCTATAGGAAGTTATCATTTAAGCGCTGCACTATTTAATAATGAAACTATCGTAGCCCTACCCATCAGATTGAATATTTTCATGAGCAAATGACAGCAAATCAGACGTTCCACCACTCTTGTCAATCACCAAAACAGGGATGGGCGGTTTGTTTGTGACACAGTCGATTACGGATCGGATACAATTACTGCCACCTCCCATTAGCAATCTTACTACAGGTGTACCATGGTCTTTTGAGCTTCCTAGAAAGTATACCTTAATCATTACACAATTATTTTACTCGCACTATCAGTAAAATTTTATCCGAACCAAACCATAAACTTGAAATGTAAATAAATGGAAACTACTGTTGTTGGCAATCTTCTGCTGGGAGATGTATCTTTCGAGATTCTTGCGCAGAATTATTTCAGAACCGAACTTTCCAACCGATCCATCGTCGACGAGTAGGTAATGAGAGTGGTTGACGTTCAGAACAGTCCCGTCGTTATTAGCTGACGAAAAACTATAAGGCACGGATTTCTGAGTCGTGTCGTTATATTATTAATTATGGATAGATTATAATTTTTAAAATTGAAAACTTCAAATGTCGCATTTGATAGTTAGAATTTCTTAAAATAATTAAATGCAGACGAACGGCAAAATATCTTGCTCTAACATTCCTGCCAATGAGATCTTCCCTCCGATGCACAACTCCCCACGCGACGATGCCGATCCTTACGATGTTGTGCCGGGACTGTCCCGTTGTGTCACCTAATGATTCGTTCAACCGTTTAACAACATCTTCGATTTTAAATGAAAATCGCAATCTACAAACAACAATAAAAGTTATAAATATTTATAAAAAAAATTGATTTTAATTCATTTCTAAACACACTCTATAATTAAAAAAATGTATTGAAACCACTGAGTAGCTATTTTTTGTAAAGATTATTATCATTCAGTTGACCTAAATGAACGCCATCTGTTATGACCCAGGCGCCCGTTGTTTTAGCAGCATTAAAAATCCCTTCGTTGCACACCTCACGAAGTTCAGGTCGAAGGTCATAGTTCACGAAATCTCCGTATATTGAAATCAACATCTTCGCATTGTCCAGTCGCCAGTGAGTGTGAAGGAAGGTGAGGACGTCTTCCGGGTGGGTGTCGTTAGACAGGCGTATGTACTGGTTGCGTGTGTGGTCGGTTGGTTTGGTTTCATTTTTTAACGTTTCACAAAAAATGTAAAATTATAAACCTATTTTTGAAAAATTATAGAATTTTATTAAAAATCATGAAAAATAAAAAAAATATTGAAATAAAATGTTGGAGGCAGGCAGCAGATTAATGTTGAAAAAGATAAGCAGTGGTGTGGATGCAAAAAAGCCCGATAAAAAAACATTGATCATTATTATCAAATGTTAAATTTTAAAATCTAAACACCACCTGAGACTTGCCGTTTCGAAATTCTATCGTCCCGTAAGCATCGGTTGGCAGGAGATCTGTGTTTGTCAGGGGATCCCAAACTGGAGGAACTGCATACGAGGATTTAGTGATCTCATTCATCCGCGAGTTTGTGTGCGAGAATTCATCTTTGCCGCACTGGCATCTAACGTTGTTTAATCGTTTCATATGACGGTAACGTGTTTCAACTCACAAATTTAGGGTTTATTGAAATGTTAATTATTCTGTCAAATAGAAAAAAAAACTTGCAATAAATTTTATAGTTAAAAATCAATTAATTTTGCGTTAACTCTTGGAAGGGCTCATACCTGTATAGCTTAAACTACCAACAACTCTAAGTTAATTTACTTTGGTCAGCTTGTGTAATTTGAAAATACAAATTTGTATAATAATTTATTAAAAGAACATTTTAAATTATAAATAAAAATTGTTAAAAACGAAGAAAACAATTGAACTTTGTGTAATCATTAATTTCAGGCATGAATTGGATGCACTCTCGCTTCTTGAACGTACGTTCTATCCATAGTGACTTTTCGTTGCAACATTTAATCTCAATAAAACAAAAAGCTATTAAATTTTTTTGCGATTCAAAACGTGAATTTAAAGACAAATTTTTCGAATTAAAATTAATTTGCATTAAAATTTATACCCAACGAAATGAAATTATGAAGTGAAATGAAAAATTAACAAACAAAACATTTAAATCACACTCATGTAAAAAGAATAACCCATTATAAACGAATTTCAAGTGATGATCAAGAACGTGACAACAATAGTACTTAAAAACCTGATCGCCAACGACCGCCTCCCCAGTCAGAATATTATCTGCTTGTAGATAAGACAGCATGGAATCTTAATAATCTTTTATAAAATTGATAAACTTTACACGGAGTTAGTTACTCAATAGAAAATACTGACATTAGTGTATTTCATAACAATCGTCCAACAGTTCAATATTTTAGTCACTCATACGAACCACATGTGTGCTAACGAAACATATCTGAATTGAACCGCTCTTTACAGACCAATGATAAAACTAGAACAATGTGCACAAAGGTGCGATCGTGTTTAATATTATCATTATTGTTATTACTATTGTTATTATTCTTATTGTTGTTGTAATTGTAGTAGTAGTTGTTGTTGTTGTCCTCAGAAACAATTGTGTGTTGGTTTCAATTTTCATGTCATTTTCGTTGAGTCGGTGCTCGACAAGACATTTTTGCCAGGAAAGAAAGTTACGATATATCCATTTATGCAGTATACTACAGTATTATGTTGGTGTAAGGATTAAAATGTTGAAATGATATATATTTGTATCAACAATTGTATTGTAATGTATTAACAATTTTGTACACACACACACACACACACACGTGTACACACGCAACATGTTTGAAATAATTTATACGGGTGGATTAAATTCAAAAATTTGATTTTGATTAACATTTTTTTAAATCACTATGTATTTATTTTTATGTCAGTAATGTTATTATTGACAATGACTGACTGACACTCAGTTTGAATAAATTGTTTCAAATGAATAGATCATGAAAATAAAAATCTCATCATCAATTATTATTATTAACATGCAATATGCAGTCAAATAGGCTGTCAATTACTATGTACTAATCATATTATTTCTCATCGCTACTTATCATTCACGTCGTCATCATCTTCCTCACAATCGTCATCTTCTTTATCACCATCATAATCATCTTCTTCATTACCACCATCATTTTCGTTATCTTCTTCAACCTCATGTTTATCATCATCTAGAGACAAGCTTTTCATAATCTGGAATTTGCCGATTCTTCTCCATGGATTTACAATTTTCTTTGTACAAGCACTCCGTCTAAAAAATATTATTTTATAATAATTATTATTATTATTATTAGTTAAATTGAAATAATTTTTTGTATAATTAATCATTCAAAATCGTCATGTTTTATTCTTTATATATATATATAGGTACAGAAACTTCTTAACTTCAACCCTCTCTCCACATACAAGTTAAGTTATATTATTCACTATTGGAAATGATTACAATCGAAACAATTATTATCAATGTAATTAATTAACACTCATTATTAATTTAATTAATAAAATAATTAATTAAAAGTATCAGAAGTTAGTTAGTATAGTTAGAAATGAATTGAAGAAAGGTTGATTACAAATTTTTTGTAGGTCTCGTAGATTTCCACAGCCTGGTTAGAGGTGAAAATTATTCTCCCTTCGCCCGTTGAACTGTGGCTGTCAACAGTTTTCAGATTAATAATTTTATACAAGTTAATATAATAAATTAATTTTCAAAAAAATTAATTATCAACATTTTTTTAATATTCGATTGTTACGGTTGTTAATATTTATGAAAAATGTTTGATTCCAGCGTGTCTTCACTTGTGTATTTTGCTAAATTTTTTAACTTGTAGCATTTCAGTCGTTTTTATAAACATCTAGTTTTCTTTACTTTCATCTACAAACTGAATAATTCAAAAATTGTATCGTAATTTAAGATTGAACATCTGACAATAATACAAACACAACCAAACTAAAACGTTAAAAACATTCGCAAAGAGGACTAAAAAAACATTCAAACCTGTCAGTATGGATGATGAAGTGATTAGGATCAAATCCGTATTTCTGTATAGAACCGCTGTTCCATTTTATCAGGAATGTAGCTAGATTTTCGAAGCTCCATAGCACAAGTTCCTTGCCAGTTATTTCCAGCCTGCAGTGCTGGGGCTCTCTCCATGGAAGGAATGCACATGGCATGACGACCACGTTGAAAAATGCTGACTCCCCTGCTAGGTTTCGTGTTGTGTGTTGTTGTTATTGGTAGTGTTGTTGTTGGTGGTGGTTTTGTTGTTGTTGTTGGTGGTGGTGGTGTCGTTGTTGTTGTCAAGATGATTTGTAGTAGTAAGCAGATTTAAATCTTAATACTGTAATTAAATTTTTTTAAATATTAATAAATTAAATAGTAATTTAACAATGACTATAAATTTATACCGAGCCATAAAACCAACGAAAACATGATCAGACATAGAAACTAACAAAATTTAAAAAAAAATTTTACGCATTTTTGGCTTAGAACTTGTTCTCTGGACAATGATGTTGCTACTGCTGCTGCTTCTGCTGCACATGGGTGGCTGTGGAGTGGGTGTGGGTGGTAGTGGAGTAGTGGGAGGTGATTGCTGACAGAAAACTGTAGGCGGAGGAGGGGGTAGAGTAAGGGTGACACCGTTGAGTGCATGCATCCAGACCTCAGCGTCGTACACTGTGGTGTGGTGTGGTAAGATAGAGATGTTCAAAAATTGGTGTCAGTGTATGAGTTGTGGTAGTTTGCACTTTGCGATGTTTTCAGCATGGCGTTGTTATGTTTTGAAATTATGATATTTCAGAAAGCTTTTGTTGACGTGTTAATGATTTTTTCTTAACAAAAGCTGAATAGAATATAATTTGTTGCTTCAATAATATGTTTGATCATAATTTTGTGCGTCTGCATGTGTTTGTTTGTATTGTGTAGTGTGTTTAGGTGTGTGCATATAAATTGTTAATATTTGTTTACAATTATTTCGTTTTTGTTTTAATACACGTATGAATATGTACGAATATTAAAATAATGCCCGTTAGTTAAGAACCAGGATGCTAACTAGAAGTAAATACTAAAGAACGCTGATGCTAATTATGCTGCTAGTTGATTACAATTCATTTGATGTGGATGATGAAGATGATGAAGATGAAAGTTCTGGCAGTGTTGACTACGGAAATGATGACGATGATGGTTGAAAAACGTAAATAATGATAATAATTATTCAATTCTACTCATCTCAATTATGATTACGATAATTATAAAGATGTTTAATAATAATAATACCTAGAACAGTTACGACAATAATATTGATATGATATCTATATTATAACAATCATATAATTACAATTCTATAATTGTAATAAAAATGTTGTCTTGTATTAATTTAAAGATGACTGATGAAAACGTCCGTTTTGGTTAAATAGTTAGGACGAAAATTTTTAGAAAAGAACAATGGCTATTTTCATTGGAAAGCTATCATTGAGACGGGTGTTAGCTAATTAAATGCAACTATATGATGAAATTATTTAATTGTTACGAAATATTAAAAGTTAATAGGTTATCTATTTAATTATAAAAATAAAAAATTAAATACGGATATCATTATTGATGATTAGTTAGGCATTTTTAATTCAACCAAAAATTAATCTAATCAGCAGTTTAAAGTAACATTGTTTTAGATATATATATTTAGGCTGAAATTTCGATTCAAATTGCACGCAAGATAATGAGGTCAGCTGATTTTATATCCAAAATTTGAATTTTATAATTTCAACGTATTACATTATAACATAAAATATAACCCTAAAATTAAGCCCAGCGCTGGATCAATAACAGAATGTCAAATAAATAACATTAATAGAAATAACAATTACAGTTGATGTTAAAATGATTGATGAAATTTAGTGTAAGGGAATATTAATGTAATGAAAGACATGATCAACAAACAACTCACGTGATTGGGTGATAAACTTTTTAATGTTTCCATCGGTAAAATGTAGGAGGATGCCACATCGAGAGCCCTTGCTCTCGATGTGGGCTCTGTCTCCGGGGAAAAGTGGTACCGTGCAAAGGGGGGGTTTGTGATCGCAGTCTGAAAATTTTTCGTGGAATTCAAGTTTGTGGGAGACGTAGACGTCGTACTGGCGAAGAAGGCGCAACCATTGGTGCTTGTAGGTAGAGCTCTTTAGGAGGTTGTTTTGTTGTGATGTTGTTTGTATTGTTTTTTGTTGTTGTTGTTTTTGTTGGTGTTGTAGTTTTTGTTGTTGTAGTTTGTGGAGTGTTGTTGTTTGTGGGGTGTTGTTGTTTGTGGGGTGGTGTTCTTATGATTGTTGGAGTGTGTTAATAAAACTATTTTACCAAACGACGATGATGATGATAAACAAAGAAATGACGATGTTGGCTTGTAATAATAATGATGAACTTGACAATTCAACTATACCTACAACCGCAATTGTTCCTAAAAAAAAGTAAAGCTAAGGAAAATGAATGATCTGATAAGATAGATGGAATGGAAATGAGCATAAAACAATAAGAATCAACGTAACGTAATTGGTGTTGCTAACAAAACTTAGATTTACAGTTCATCCATTCACTCATTCATTGATTCATTTGTATTCGTTCGTTCATATGTTTATTCATTCATTTATTCATTTATTTGTTCATTCATTCAAAATCCCTAACTCACCAAATAAGATTTGACCTTGACACTGACCAACCCCTCCTTCACAACTTCACAGATTGGCGTTGTTAACATATTCCTCGTTTTGCCGTTAATGTTTTACAATCTTTAGAGATTAATTTAATTTTGTAAATATCTTCGGTCGATTGAGCAAGAAATTTTAAATGTTTATAACAGCAACAATAACAGCATTAATAATTGTTTTTTTTTAATTAATCAACTGTTAAATTCAAATTATTAACCAATCATAAGCCGCAAAAGTTTGGTCTATTAATTTTATACAATTATTTATTTAACCACATAAAAAATATCTTGAAGTCACTTGATCAATTACCTATCGAGATTATTTAATACTCTTATCGGTTTAATTTGAATCCAACTCATCCTATGTGTATTCATGTGTTTCCGTGTATCAAACTTCAAAACAGTCACAACAACCACGCTACCATGAGTTATAAATTTGTCGAAAGATTGTTAAATACGTAAAATGCATCCGCCCATTTATATATGCAAATATATGAAGGCACTTTGAATAAATTATATATTTATGTTATATATTAACATGTGTATATATTTATGTGTGTTATATATATATATGTGTGTGTGTGTGTGTGAGTGTGGTATGTGTAAAATTTATTGACGCAGATATATATGTAGACCAACAATAAAGTTTTTTAAACGTGCACACATATAAGTACACGTACAAGTACAATATTTTATAAATGTTAAATGATTTCTTAAGCAGCTCTCGAACCAGGTGCGGACGAAAATGATTGAAGGTTTGGTAGGGTAGTTCGTGATGAAAAGTGCAGGTGAGTGCAGGCACTAAACGGAGGAAAGCATTCGAGAAAAAGTTACAAGCAGGTGGAAAAATACGCATGCAAGGAAATTTCTCTAAATATTATTTTAATGAACAAAACAACCAGGTACTCTAAGTATACGAGTGCTGTGTGTGTGTGTGTGGCCTTGAATCAGCTTATTACCTTCTCGTTGTACGTTTTTCAGGAAACTGAGAAGCCGAATAGGATAAAAAAAATTTAGTTTCGGTTTCATCCCCTCACCATGAGTTCACTAAATGTCACATTGTTCGTCGGTGTTTTATTGGCTACCAACAATTTGACTGAGAGTTAATTAGCACGATAACTCATTTAAATGGTTGCCAACATATAAGATATGGCCATCGTTCTGTTATCTGGCGTGAAAATCACATAACAAAAACTTCAATAATAATAATTGCTACAACTGTTATAATAATAATAAAACAATGTAAATATTCGCAGTATCAATAAAAGCAACAGCGATGATTTTAGAAAAGCTTTACGTAAAATAATTTTCACATAAATAACTTTACATACTTTCGAAATAATGTTGGAAACACTGCAATTAATATTACTTCAAGCGTTTTTCAACTTTCAGTAATAACACAGACGTGCTTAGCTCATAAGCATGAGATTAGTTTTAGTTTATTAGTTTTAGAAGTTTTTTATTGGTAGGCACGGTTATAAAATGAAGAATTCTAGAAGGAAATTCATAATTCATATGTAACAACCTACGCACAAGTTGTAGGCTTTCACGTGCGAATTTGCCAATCATTACATATTAAACAATGTTCAGTTAATACTTTTGCGTTGTTAAACGTTAAGGTGATATAACCCCCTTGTGGAGAAATAACTAATTGTTATAAACAAAAACGCCAAGAACTGAATTAATTCGACGAATTAACATGTATTATTGTGACTATAAACTTATAATATATAACTTATACATTTATTTTCTTACATTTCATTGTAGCTTATTGAAATTATTCAAACTGAGAACTTTCAAATCTGTTTGTTTGGTAAACTGAAATCAGTTAAGTTTTGTAAGCACCAATGCCCTTACTCCTGAGAAACATTTCGTCGATTCAATAGATCCCAATTACATTTTAAATGTGCAAACAGTAACCCATGTAACAAAAGTTGTTGAATGTTTTAAAATTTTCCATCTCCCATATGGTACATATTGCATGCAATTGAAATCATAAAATTGTAAACATACATCATTGTAAAATTGTATATTTTATTATATATGCAGCTATAAATGTAACAATCATAAATCTTGATTCAACATCATATATGGAATCAATTAATGTTAATATCATCGTCAGTCAACAAACAACTATTTACATTATTGACGTTATTGTGGGTTTAAAAAAAAGTAAAAAAGAAAATAGATAAAATCCAAAGACGTAAAATAGAATTAAAAAAGGTTTAAAAAATTTACAAACACCAATGGTTAAAAAGCACTATCATCACAGTCCAGTTAGATAACATAGTGAATATGTACAAGCAAGCAAATCCTCTCCACCACTTCTACACACCTCCTCCTAACTGCTACACACCAGGCACTCATCTTTGTTCTTCAGGGAACAGACCCCCACCTCCATGATTTCTGACACTTCGTCAACATTTCCATTAGAAGTGTCAACTTTTCCATTAGAAGTGTCAACCTTTCCATTCAAAGTTTTTGTACCATTTTGAGTAGCGGGGCCATTTTGAATTGTGATATTATTTTGAATTTTCAGTTTAGATTTGTCGACAGTAAACTGGATGGCGTTGGCAGCTGGTCGAGTTCTCAGGTAGTACATGCCCGTCTTCAGACCCTGGTCGTGGCGTTTAGGAAAACGTATTAGGAATGATTTATTCGGCAATTAATTATATTAGTAACTTTCTACCATTGTGCAATAAACATAATCCACAAATCGCATATAACAAATTTCAATGGAAACAAATTCAGTGATTAACTAACATTTAGAAGAATAGCACAAACATTCCAGCTAATACGTAAATTATACGCAATCAACAAAAGTGTTTGCAATCTCAATCCATCGCCCTCACCATCCGCCAGCAGTAGAAATGCACACTGGAAAGCTTTCCATAGGTAGGTTCCGAAATGTGAATGTTCAGTGACTGGCTCTGATCAATGAAGGGGGCTCGATCGGCAGCCATCTTGATTATCGTCTTCTGCGAGATCTCCCAGACTGTTTTGTACAAGCGCTTGATGTGGTAGGGGATGCAGTCGATATTCTGGTTGAAGAATAATTAATTATTAATTAATTAGTGGGCTACATTAAGAAGTTCGAAGAGATAAAATGAAAAATAAACGGTTGATCGTCAACAAATGCAATCGGTAGAGTATCAGGTAGATGAATGAATAGCCAGATAACTTGAAATTTTTTGAAACCTGGACAGATCCGTTGTTGGCAATCAGCAAATTCTTCATGTCATCGTTCCATAAATTTAGTTCAACAAGATCTTTCAAGAGATGGCGATTCACCACCTGCATTTGTAATAAAGATTGAAAGATTGAATGTGAACGCAAACACATCAAAATATAAATAAGTAATCAAATTTATGTCTAAAATCGGAACAACCGTTTCTAAGCCACTAAATATTAACAAACCAACAAAGACACAAACAAACTCTGACAAATTTTCGAACAAACACATATTGAGGAAAACAGAGTTAGACCTGAAACTCCCCGGACAGCACCCTCCTGGTGTAAATATTGCTGGTGTAGGGCTCAAAACTTTCACAGTTACCGAGAATCTGTGCTGTCGAAGCTGTAGGCATTGGGGCCACCAGCAGGCTGTTTCTCACGCCGTACCTGCAGATGAGGGGGTGAGTGTCGAGAGATGACTTTCAAAAGAAGCCTAATGATAAACTTTCAAGAAAATGAATAATCTCTTGCAGAATGAAGAAATATGTTAGCCATAACACCACTTAACAACTCGTGTGTAACCAACAATGTTGAAAATTATTTAAGAGAATTGTAAAAAAAATAATAATTAACATAAGCTAAATCCAACAAAACTCAACATAACGGTAATTTCAGTCAAAATAATTATACTCCAAAGTAAATATTTATCAACATTTTCACTGAAGTTTGATTCAATCTTTAATGTTCATAAATATGCATTTAAAAAATGATTACAATTTTTCATGTTAAAACAATTAGCCTCAGGCATGTTTGTCATTCCATGATTAACGAACAAGACGTCATTAATGCCCACAATAATCCAATGACCAACCAACTTTTTAATGTTTTCTCTGAGCGAGGTCCAATCATGTCGATCTGATGGATCAACATTCCACATGTCAAACTGCAGGATCTGTGGTGGCAGGTGATTGAAGGATGATGCTTGTGCTTGCATGGATGTGCGTGCATGATTCTCAAATGTATAAAATGAGGTACATATGTATGCACGTCGTATTTGTTAACGAACAAGGTTAAAATAATGATATCCTAAAAAAAACGTAAGAATTGAAATTAAGCTGCTCATTTGATTTTCAAGAAGCAATGATGTTAACATAATCTATAGAAACATTATGGAAGACAGTAAGTACCCCCTTGCTGACTGGTGAGTCCTGGTATGTCTCGTAGGGACCAAACTTCTCAGCCAATGAGCAGCTTGCTTTGAGGGCTGCATAATAAATTGTTTCAAAGATGTCCTTGTTCAGTTGTTGGGCCTCTTCACTTTCAAATGGATATCTGATAAACAACATAGTTCAAAATAAATTTGATGTAATTTGAACGTCTGACAAGTTTTGGATGATTTATGGGATGGCAGAAAAAAGGCATGATAACATTAGGCACAAACATTAGGTAATCAAAGATAAAAATTCACATGCATGTCAACCAATCATATGGGACCAGGCCACATGTGACTACTGAGAACTAACCTCATGAGCAGGAAGGCATCAGCCAAGCCTTGAACCCCCAGTCCTATTGGTCTGTGTCTCATGTTACTCACTTTGGCCTGCGGGTAAATTAACTTCTTTTTCAAAAACAATATTTCAACGAAATAATCATAAAATGTACAATTGAAAATAAAAAAAACACACACAACCACAAACCAGCTCACCTCAGGCACTGGGTAATAGTTGACTTCGATGATTTTGTTCAAATTCTTGACTGCCACACCAACAACAAACTCCAGCTTCTCAAAATCAAACGTACGATCTGACTTTACAAATTGGTTCAATGCAATGGAAGCCAAGTTACACACAGCTACCTGTAAAAAAATATATGAACTTTTTTCAACTGGGCATTAAACAAATGAAAGATCCACAATATTTATCAATTGCTACGTATGCTTATTTTGTATACAGAGTTATTTTGATCCTTTGTTACAAATTTATTTCTATTAAAACAAGTGAATCCATTTTAACTATAATTAATAATATTCCATTTTTAATCAACAAACAACCAATCAAAAGGCATGTAAATAAAAAAAATCGAATATTCGATCAATAAACTAGCCTACACCAACTTAACAATTCACAATCAGCCAACCAACCAACCAACCGACTAACCTCATTAGGATCACAATATTGAATAATCTCAGTGCAGAGGTTGCTACATGTAATGGTTCCCAGATTCTGCTGGTTCGACTTTCTGTTACAACTGTCCTTGTACAACATGTAAGGAGTGCCTAAGCAGGTTTTGTGAAATTGTCCAATATGCATCACATATATAGGTCAAGATTGATGTGCATGTAGGTGGGATGTAACAAAAACGGTAAATGTTAAACTTAGGCTGAAAACTGACCTGTTTCAGTCTGTGATGTGATTATTTGATACCAGAGCTCCTGAGCTTTGACAACTCTGCGACCTTTGCCCTTCTTCTCGTACCTGGAATAATTAATTTTTACATCTCCTTGTGAGAAATCAACAGTGACAGCATCTACAGAATGATGAATGTACATGAATTCTTAAAATAGACAACAACCGACAACCACCAACTCTTCATAGAGGGCTCTGAAATCATCACCCCAGGTTTGATACAACCCCGGACATTCGTGGGGACACATCAAGGTCCAGTCACCATCCTGTTCCACCCTCTCCATGAACAGATCTGGAACCCAGAGGGCAAAGAAGAGGTCTCGCGCCCTGCATTCTTCTTTGCCTACGTGTTCATGTTGTTATGATTCTAGTTCATTTATTAACATTACATCTTCGAGACCAGCTTCTGTCACTAGCAATGGATCTTTATAAAAGAAATAACATTATCATTCCACCAGATTAACCACCAATGCTGTTGGTTGTACGGTGCCCACACACAAACCTCGTACAGATATCAACTTATTAATGCATTATACTTATAAAAACTCTTAACATGCAAACTTATAAAAAAAATCAGACTTACAAGCAGGACAAATATAAATATATATTTATACACATACCTGTATTTTTTTTGCAGTCAAGAAAATCGAAAATGTCTGCATGCCATGGTTCTAAGTAAACTGCAAAAGCACCTGGCCTCTGTTTCATTGTTTCATTTTTGTTATGTCTGTATGGTTGTGCTAATTATTCTACTGACTGCATCGTAGTATTATTTACATTTTTATAAGGATTTTTGTGTCTTCATCAATCAACAAATCAATCAACAATAAAACCAAACTGTGTCCATCTTTTATGAGACACACTTAATCAACTATCTTTAATAAATTCATCATCACCGGCCAAAATTCGATCAGAAGAACAGATAATCATTCCATCAATCAATCAATCATTCATTCAATCAATCAACCAGTCTGCTGGCCAATGAAATGCAGACCTTATTTCCTCCTTGGCCCACATACTTAGCAGTGTTGTTGTAGACACGAAGCATTGGAAGCAGGCCATTAGATGTACCATTGGTCTGAAGGTTGTTGGGAAATAATTTGCTGCTAATAATAACCACTGATAAAACAAAATTAATTAATTAATACTTAAATTATATAAAAATAAATATATAAAAAAAACAATAAATATGACACTCAGGTTTAAAAAAATGCATAACTGCAATTAACAATTCCCACATAGAGATAGGGACAAAAATGAGACAAACAAACTCACACACACGCCCGCCACACACACACACAGTTGTTCGCACTCCTCAATCAACCCATATAAAAAAAGTTGGGCTCCTGCCACGAAATTTATCAAAAAACATTTGTAAATTATAAACAAACGTGTGGCAACTATGAAAATAGCAACAACAACAAGCAACAACAACAAGCAAATAGTAGCAACAACAACTGAACCAACCCCGGCAATAAATGTACCAGTAGCTCGAATGCAATGGATGGCCAACCCGACACCCCCCGCCGATTTTGAGATGAGGGCGCATTGCTTGAGGGTGTCGTAGATCCCCTCTATGCTGTCTTCCTTCATGGCTACTAAGAAACAGCTGATGGATGGATGGATGGATTATGTGGTCAAATGAATGAATGAAGACAGACTATGCAAATGAAAGCATGGAGCAGATGAATTTATGGGTTAGCAGCTATGTAATGTTTTTTATTTCTATTATTTAAAATTCATTCACAGTAAGACTCAGAAAATGTTACAACATTTAAGAGATACATTGGTAACAATTGAAGTGGAAAATCACAAAATTATCTTATTTCAAAGATTATGCATGAAAAAGAAAATAAAAATGATACAATTACAACAGTGATCAACCAACAGAATGAAGGAAATAAATTTAAAAGTGAACCTAGATAGCTGGGGTTTGTTCGTGCCAGCATTGAAGAGGGTGGGAGAAGCATGTGTGAACCATTTCTCAGACAGCAAATTGTACGTCTGGTGGATTTGAGAGTAATTCGCCCAATTAATTAATTACTTAACTAATTAATCAGTAATTTGGTTGTTGATGTGATGAGTAAAATGTGAGAAATTTGATTGACTGTTGATTGAGATGACGCAATGACTGATCAACCTCGATGGCAGACTCGATGTCCTGGCCGTGGATGCCAACAGAAACCCTCATGAGCATGTGTTGGGGGCGTTCTGCCACTTTGTTGTCCATCTTCAACAGGTATGATTTTTCTAGTGTCTTTTTTCAATTTAAAAAATTTTCATGTGACAAGTAATCTTGGTATTTTATAACGAAACTTTTTCATACATTATCAATATGATTAAAAATACATGAAACACCAGTGAAAAACAACACAACCATTCTATAACATTTAAGAAAATTTATATTTGTTTTAAATAAATGAAAAACAAGCACAAATTAATCAGTAAGATAAAAAAAGATTAAAAAAAATGAAACAAAATCTCAAAAAAAAATTCAAAACACAAACCTTGAACCCAAAGTAAGTGTATCCATAGTCTCTGTCATTGATGATGGCAGAGTTGAGTCGATCAGCATTTGCCATGACGATATTGTAAAACTCTTTCGATACCAATGGGGTGTTTTGCTCGGTGAGTGGGTTGTAATAGTTGTAGAGGTCAGACACCACACCTGAGGCAGGTGTGTTTAAGGAGATGATTGACAAGCAAGTTACCAAAAAATTACTTCACCAAATTACAAACTTTCAGTTGAAATCACAAAAACATCAGCTGACATCAAGCTGTAAGACACAAACATCGATCAGCCAGTCAATTATTATCGTATCATAATTAATTATAATAATTTCCCATCAGCTACCTACCGCTAAATATCTTCTTGGTCTCCTTATGGAGATTGGACATGGCAATCCTTGCAGCAAGTATGGCATAGTCTGGGTGCTTGGCTGTTAAAGTTGCACAAATTTCAGCTGCTAGATTATCTAACTCAACTGTTGTCACGCCAGGGTACAACCCATTTATGACTTTCATAGTCACTACCACCTAGAAGAATTACATTATTATTATTTGTAGCACAACTCATCATATTAAAATTACTGCAAATTCCAAACAGAGGTTGGTGGTATATTGAGTCAAATGAATTTTTTAACAAGTGTGAGTCAAAAAATCAAATTAAAAAGCATTTGGAGTTACTGTACTTACTGGGTCAACAAAATCAAGGTTGAGTCCATAACACAATTTTTTAATTCTAAATGTTATCTTGTCAAAGTGGATGTCTTGTTTCCTTCCATCTGCTCAGTTATTTAATCATTATTTTAATGTGATTATTTATTATGTATTTTATATATTTATATGTTATATATTTTATGTATTTTTATATATTTATATATTATTTTAATGTGATTATTTATTATGTTTTGAAACTGTTTTGTAATTGTGAAATGTTACTTACATATTTTAAAAATTTTAATTAATGAAATGTTTTATTTTTATTTTATAGCAACAACTTTTATTCCTATCTGAAAGAATCTTTGATATTTGTTTTATTTTAAAAGACTAGCTTGATGAGCAAACGAGTTACATTTACCTACAATTTTAAAAAATTGATTGAGCAAAAAACAAACCTCTTTTCAAGACATACAAACTCTTTTCATTGACCATATTTCTATTTTAACAACTTAACAATTATTTGGTTTGACAATTCAATAAATGCTTGAAAAATATACTAGCAGACAGCAAAGCAGTTTTTTATCACAAATAATGAATTAAAATAGTTGCTGGCTATGGAGTAGCAACGATGATATAGATAGATAGATAGATAGATAGATAGACTAGATAGACAGAGCAGACCGTTTTGAAAATGATATGATATATATATACATATACACCGCGGGCAAGTCTTGCGCGCCAGATGGTAAATATCAATTTAAAAGTTAAGTTCTAAATTTAACAGTTAAAAAGATTTTTAGAAAATATTTTTGAGTTTTATTTTCAAACAGCATAAAACTGGTATCAAGAAACTTTTAAAGATCTTTCAATTCCTTTTGTTTTCCAGAATTTCGTTTGCTGGTTACTGGTTATTGGAATCAAGAATTAAAAGTATAAGTTTATGAACCATGTTCATGAAAGTATACGAACAACCATGTTCATGAAAGTATGTTAAAAGTATATGAACATGATCCATGAACCATCTAATTGTGACATTTTCGAAGAAGGTAAAATAAAAATTAAATGGCAAGAACTTTTTTAAGAATATCAACTTAAAAGAAGGCTTTTTAGCTTGGAACATAATATATTATGTTATATTCTATATAGGTTTGGAGGTTTTTGGTCTATGAGATTCTCAAAAAAATTTATCCTAAATTTGGTTTGTATTGACAATAGCAGTTAATAAAAAATAAATCGCTAGAGGCGTTAATCTACAAAAAATATCTTTAGAACGTTGAATGAACCGGTTTAGTTAATTTAATGGTAACATTCTTTTTCTTCTTTCTCGTACCTTATCCTTTCAGGACAATGGCGACAGTGAGAGCCGTCAGTTAGCATAAGAAAAATTCTGATTTTACTGTTGGTGAGGATGTTTTTCATTTTAGAATATGCATCTTTCGCCATAGCCATCCTTCTTTTAATATCTATATCACATTTACAACCTGATGATTCATATGAATATTCATGTATCTGTCTATTTAATTCATTACTATCCATGCTTATTTTTACCCTTTTTTTTACATCTAAATCATTGAGAGCACGGATACGGTTTTTTACATCTACATCTTATTAATACATTTATTATGCTAATGATAAAATTAAACCAACATTCATTTTCAATTTAATTAAGAGTAGAGTGGAATTGAACCAAGCATCAGTAAATTCCCAACATCGCATTTAAAAATAAAATTTTTAATTTTCTTAATTAAATATTGAAATAAAACAAATAGGTAATATTAGACGTGTGTATTCCTATACAATACAATACAATTCAATACAAACAAAACAATACAGTTCATACATAGACACATTTGCCTAATTCACTTATTCAGTGGATAGAACGGTTGGGTCACAACATTCATATTTGTAATCACAATTTTCAGGTAAGGCGCACTATCATCAACTATTACATCATCAATACATTAATGATATCGAAACGAAACGAAACGATACATGTAAGTACTGATTAAAAAGAAAGAGTACGTTGATAATCTTGGTTCAAGTTTTCATGATGTTATTATGCTCAAATAAATTACTTTATAAGTGTAATGTCGTAATTGTAATGTCGTAATTGTAATGTCGTAATTGTAATGTTGTAATTGTAGCGTCGTAATTGTAACGTCGCAATTGTATTGTTATGATGTGTTGTGTGTATTACTCAATGTTTTCTGGAGATGATGATGACGTGGCAACATCGAACTTTCGCAGTCATACCTTTGATGTAAGAATTAGGGTAAAGTTCGGAGAGACTACACTAACACGATACATATACACACACATTAATATTACTAATAACAATATATATTATTCGTTTTTTTACTCTTTCCTTCGTTCTTTTGTTTGTTCGTTTGTTCATCCATATATTAATTCATTCACCCATTAATTAATTAATTAATTATTCAAATTAATTTGCTTTATTCTTTATAAATCAGTCCTGACGAACGCATAGCCGCTTACAAATCATTCTCTGCTTAATTGAAATTATACGTCAGTTAATGAATACTCTTTTACAACTAAATTCTGATTCACACAGTATGACTTATGTTACATTTGCATTTGTATGCACGTAGAAGCATGGCAGTATTCACGCATGAACGAGGCGTTTTAGTTTGAGCTTGGAGCAAGAAGCGTTCGAACCAGGTCGCAACGACACGAGTCATAACAAACACTTTCAACATCTGATCTAACTGTGAATAAAATGATATAAAAATATTTTCATTCTTCGATATACTCGCTGATAATGACGACGAATGAATAGATTTAAAGATTGATAGGTAATCCGTGGTTGATACGAAGTTACATATTTCAACCTTCTGTTGTCATGCATGCATACTGCGACCATCCCAGTTCTTCTCGAGTCATCATTCAAACAATGCCGGCCGGTTCAGTCAGTGAATTCAATGTATTATACATATAAGGCAACATTTCAAACTCGTGACGTCGTCAGTTCATGTTACAGTTCATGTAACATGTTTGTAGGATTTCAATTGAAGGTTGCATGTTGCATATGGTTGCGTTAAGTAATTTTTAATTTATGCGCTCGTCAAGTCGCTTGTTCATCCTCTCGAAAGATTCATTCACTCATTCACTCACACTCACTCACAACCTCACTCATTCACTCACTCAAATTCTCTATCAATTGCTTGCACAAATATCAAATAAATAAATCATTCATTCATTAAATTCCATTATTTGTTCAATCAATTTATTCACATACATTCATCTCATTCGCTCGCACATACACATTCAGTTGAATCAATAGTTATCAATATATTAAACATATTTATTATCGTCATAACATTCTTTTAAAGAATTAACAACACACACAGACAGACACACACCACACACACACACTACACACACACACACACACACACATAGACAGACAGACAGACACACACTCACATGTAGCTCTGTTAACAAATCATTTATTACCAACGCAGCAAGAACGCCATAATCCTAACACAATGAAAACTTACATATTATCGACAACGCCCGACTCGCTGGTGAAATCTGACTGCCTGCTATTGAACACTCAGATGTGAACATTCAACGTTTCTAAACGTTTAAATAAACATTTTTAAACGTTTACAACAGTTTAAACAAACATTTCTAAACGTTTATTAACAAGGTTATGTAATTGAGTTATAAAATATTATTATCTACTTCAACTAAACGAAGTCATTATACTCAATGAAAATATTAATTAATTATTTAATGTCAGTGCTCTATATTCGTGCTCCGTAACTAAACATGTCTAATTTTGAGTTTGAAATTTGAATTTAAGCGGTTTACCAATCTCACAAATGAGTTTTTTTATTGCGATGATGGACAAGTTCAAGCTAGGATTTCGGTCGTTGATTTTCATTATGCACACATACAAACACACACACACACACACACACACACACACACACACACACACAAACATATTTTTGGCAGTTCGTCCTATTTTTTCTTTAAAGATCTTTACAATTTCAAGCAATAAGTTTGGTCAGTTTTGTTTTATTATTTTTACATATCTACGTCTTAGTGGCTGATGGAAAAATTTATGTATTTTTTAATTTTGTTTATTAATAAATGTGATTAATTTATTGAGTTTATCGTGAATGAGGATTTATAAGACGATAATTCATGCGATAAATTGCTGACGTGCTTTTGACAACAGCAGCAATAAATAAATTGAAATTTATAAACTTTTTTTTCTGCTCATTGTCGAAACATTTTTTTTAATAAAAACATTATAATGACAAAATAATAAGAACAACATTAACAAGTTAAACGACGAAATAGCTAGCTATAACTACATCTAATAAGAGCAACATGTTAAACGATGAAATTGCTAGCTAATACTACAGCTACACACAGCCATAACAATAAATTGTGATATAAAACAATAATGGGCTTGTATAACATCATTAAAATTAAGTTAACATGAAATTTCTCTATAATTTTTCATCATTGCCAAATTTAACTAATGCTAGAAAAAACGCATTGTACTGCTGCTATAGTAGATAAATATGCTGTAACAATGTAACAGCTAACGGCTAGGCAACAACAATTTATGTAACAACAACAAGAACAATGTTAATAACAAAATTACAAATTAACAACAAAGTAACAACAGCAATAACAATCAATAACATGCTATGAGAAAATAAAAGCGATCAGAAAAATATTGAAGTCAGCAGGAAGAAATAATTTAACAATCCAAGAAACACACACACACATACACTCACAACACACACTCACACACTTGACAGATCATGTTTCTAGATGTAACCTTGTTGATAAAACTCAAACATTTCTGTTTAATTTAATAAATTTTAATCAAACCAACAAAAATTTTCAAATTTATTTATTATTGCACAAAAGGTTACTTATATTTAATACTTGATAGATTTTTTTATTGTTCAACAAAATCATTTAAAAATATCTAAAAGCGATGTTTACCTGTACATTGATCACCATAGAAACTACCAAAATAAAAACGGTACAGTCTATGATTACACAATGTTTATACATACACTATGAGTGTATGTGTGTGTGTCTGTGTGTATGTGTGTGTGTGCGTGTGTGTGTGC